TTTTTTGGGTTTTTTTAGTTGCAAAACTGCAATTACTTTTGCACCAACTGATGCCATGCTCGCTTGATGGACAGAACACTGTTTTCTCACTTTGATTGACACGTACATGTTTGCCTTCTAGTGCATCTCACCTTTATTCAGCATTTCAGCCAATCAATGGCACCTTGAGCAAGCGGCCGCTCTGTGCATGAAGGGCTGCGTTGTTGCACTGAGATGTTGTTTTCATTTGTTTCTCACGCAGATACCGAGTTTTGGTGATTGGAGACAAGAAAGATCAAGTCGGGAAGGAGGATGAACTTAACAGGCAAGTACTGACATTCAGACCGCGTGCCGTTTCCTCGGCTGCTTGACTGGGTTGCCTGCAGCTTAGCACAGGGCACACCTAGGGCCAAACCCAGCCTGCCGCCTGTTTGTGTAAATGCAGTTTTATTGGAACACAGCCACCCGCATTCTGGGGGTTGTCTGTGCCACTTTCATCAGCACATCAGAACTGAGTGGCTGCGACAGAGGCCATACAGTCCACAAAGACTAAATTATTTATTATCTACCTGTTGACAGAAGACGTTTGCCACCCCCAACCTCACATATCGCCAGCCTAGCCTGAGCTCTCCGCCCATGAGCTTTCCAGGGAAACTCGGCTTTTTTTTTTTTCATCTTGGATAACCAAGATTCAGTTTGATTTTTTGCTCTGTGTTTCAGTGAGAAACCTATTCTCTTTGGAGGAAAACTTGTTTAAAATGGCATGTTAGGAAAATACAAGCACTTAACCACATTAGGTAGTTGTGAAAACCTGTTTCCAGGTCCCTTCACCCCTTCCGCCCCAAGGTGAAACATTTCTCCCGCAAAAACCAATCCGTTAATAAGGCTTAAAAACCATCGTGCACTTTGTCTTAGTGCATAAATGCTTTGGGCATTTGGGTCACTTTTGTGAGACTGAAAACTGGTTTTTGTTTGTTTGTCTGTCTGTCTTTTTTATTGGGGAATTGGGGAAGGGGAACAGTGTTAGGGAA